GCAGACTCTGTAATAAGCTTCTCTCAAGTCCAGCTTAGTAAATATTTTTTCCTTTGGCCAGATGAGCCAACATATCCTTCATTAGGCGTCATGGATAAACATTCTCCACACACACTGCGTTCATACCTTTATAGTCCACGCATAAATAAAGAGACCTGTCCTTTTTCTCATGACACAATACTGGGGCGGCCACCCATGGCCTAGTTGATTGAATGAAGCCCCACTTTAGATTTTTGACAATAAAGGCTCACAGCTTCTCCAGCTCTCACTGGATCATCGAATAAATCTTTGGCTTAGGGAGTTTAACCCCCAGGAGAATTTCTATGGTGCAGTCTGTGGGGTCATGGGGTGGGAGTACATCCAAGCCCCTCTCACTGAATGTCTCCCTAAGGTCCCAGTATTCTTTTGGGATTTTCTCCTCACCACCTAGGCACTTGCTCGCTGCAGCTTCTAGCTCCTTTGTGGACTTAGCTCTGGGTAGGGTTTTCCCTCCCCTTCTTCCCGGCTTTGTGGAATGGATTTGTAAAAACCCCTTCCTCCAATTCACATGAGAGTTTCTGTTGTGGCCTGCCAGCAGCCAGCACAGTTGGTAGCAGATTGGACAGTGAGGAGGAACATGGGCCAGTCCTGGAATCTGGGGAAGGCTCTGATGAGGGCTCTGGGTTGGAGGCAGAGAGGGGGCCAGAGCCATATGCCAATTATCAGCTGCCTTCAGAGACAGACATCAGTGAGGCAAACAAATGCATAGAGTTGCCAGATAAAGGGAACAGCTAAAGAACAGGATCGACTTGGGAGTAAGGCCACAGGTGGACGATGAATGGCCCTTCCCAGAGGAAATAAAAAAAGAGTGAAAAAAGCATGGTTTGCAAGAGACAATTAGTTCACTTAATTGGTTTGTGACTCTCCAAGACTCCTTGCCAAGTTTTGCAGATATCGGCCTGGCAGTTCTCCAAGCCAGGTAAGGTCTGTGATGGTAAATCATCCCTTGAAAGACTTTGCTGGATTTGAGTGAGCAGAATCCACAGTAAGTTAATAAAAGGATTTTTGTTGGGACAAGGAGTTTGCTTCATGCCCTTGGGCAGCCTACATCAGAACAGTTCCATTTTCGGAGCCAGGGTAATCCAAGCAAGAGGGGTCACTCCATTCCGGGAGCTACAGTGCAACAGTGTCTCTCAGTGATTCCCCATTCTCCACTGGTTCAGTTACAAAGTGAGCTGGTCCTCCCCAAGCTACCGACCCATCCACCTGGCAAAATGCTATGGACACCCTCAGTGTTTTTAGTTTCAATCCCAGTTTCTCTACTACTTTGGGGCTCATCACACATCTTGTGTACCACGAGTCCAAAAGGGGCTGAGTCCATCTTCTTCTGGGTGCCAGTTGAAGGCATCTGCAGCTCCACTGGGATGGTCATGGGGGCTACAAGGTGACTTACCAGGGGGTCATTGTCAAAGTCAGTCTCTCTCTCTCCTCTAGGGTGGTCAGAGTTCCCACCTCAATGACCTCCATCCCTTTCAGCGCTGTTTCGTGGTGCTTTTCTAGCTGCTTTTCAGGCTTCCTGCCCCAGCAGTTGTCGACTTGGATCCTGGCTTGGTGAGGCAATCAGCTGCTCGGTGCACCTCCTTCCCACACCTGAAGCATACCATGGATCTCGGTTTGGCTGCTGACCCATCTTTGCCAGGTCTCAGGGCCTCTTTTGGGGCAGGGGAGGAAGGCTTACTCCAGCTGCGGCTTCCATAGTGCTGGTCTCTGGCCAGATCAATTTCCACCTCGGCTGCCAACACATAACAGCACTGAAGGTCTCGTGGGAGATCCCTGGGAGACGCAGCTCCAATAGATGCCATCGTTAAGGGTATCTTTGTAGCACTCCATGGGGACCAGCCATGTATATGACAGGTTAACTCACAAAACTCCTGGGTGTATTCTGCTACTGACCTCCACCCCTGGTTTATGGTCTTCATCCTGGTCCTAGCCTTGAGTTCAGCTAGGGGGGTTCTCAAACCACAATGGAACACCACCATAAACTGGTTGTAATCCCACATCTGGGGTGCATCATCATTGAGAAGGGTGACCATCCAATCTGCTGCAGCCCCTTCCAGGGCCATGGTGACACATCTCACTTTGGCTGCCTCTGAAACAAAATCCTCCCCATACTCCTGCATGTGATTCCAGATTTGAGCTAGGAAGAATCCCAGAGTTTTGGGATCCCCTCCATATTTTACTCCCAGCTGAGGAAACTTTGGAATTTGGCACCTCTGGGGGATCCCCCACTGGGGGAGGCCTGGGCTGCCGCAGCAGCGGCTGCTGGGCAGCTGCTGCAAGAGCTGGCCCCTGCTGAGCTACAGGAATCACAGCTGGGGTTGCAGAGACGCTGGCTCCCCCAGCATCCTCTCCAGCTTCTTCACGTGTTGACAGGGCATGCTTCTATGTGAGGGTCCCCCAAGCTCTCTGAGTGCTTTGTGCAGAAATTTCAGGCCATGGGTCAGCAGGAGATTGGCTTCCTGCAAGGCATCAACTCCCCGCTGGCATCTGGTGACAGTCATCCCCAGGAGGTGCTCCTCTGGGTCTTCCATGCATCCTATGCCCAATGACCATCTGGCTATAAATGGCCTCTTTAACTCTTCTTTCAAACCAGCAATCCTCTCTGTCCAAAATATAAACTTGGTTGTCTTCAAAAGAATGGCCTGTGTCTTTTAAATGCAGAGAGACTGCTGAATCTAGTCCTGATGTATTTGTTTTCCTACATTGTGACATACGTTTATGAAGTGATTGCTCACATGGGACAATGTTAAGAAAAATGTTAAGGAAAACACTCAGATAGAAACTGAGCAACATGGTATATGCAGTACAATGCAGTGAGCCATGTGCAGATCTGTACATTAGGGAAACAAAACAACCACTTCACATACGCATGGCACAACATAGGAGAACAAAACACATCAGGACTAGATTCAGCAGTCCATTTGCATTTTAAAGACACAAGCCACTCTTTTGAAGACAACAAAGTCCATATTTTGGACAGAGAGGATCGCTAGTTTGGAAGAAGGATTAAAGAGGCCATTTATGTCAAACTTGAACTGCTCTCTCTGAACAGATAGGAAGGGATACAACATCATTTATCACCAATCTACAACATAGTCTTTTCAACAATTCCAAGAAAGCTCCACATCAATTTGCACCACTGAGGTGGACTCTGATGACACAGATAAACCTCCAGGTGACCTTAATGACCCGCTAAAAGAGTGCAAACGACAATCTGTCTGCAAGGAGTGTAAATCCTTCCATTCCCCACCATCCAGTCAGAGATGAAGAAGCTTCTTGGATGAGAAATGAAACATTTTCAAAGAAAAACCAGAAAGTCCAGTTGCCTCTTGAAAAAAAGCACCTTTAGGACAACCATGACCTGGATGTCGGAGAATTTCCATAGATATTTTCATTCAAAGAAGATTCCCAATAATTCAAACATGCTTGAATTTTTTTTTTAAGTTAAGAGACCACTAAAGTTTGCGACCTTGAATAAACTTAATAGAAAAGCACTGGCAACATAATTTTATCTATGTGATGCCCTTGGGCTTTGAGTGATATGCTGGAATCTATACTCCAAAAACTAGAAAAGGTTAGGGTAAAAAAATGAACAGGGCCAGAACTAAATTTGATTTAATTTGTATATAATGAAAATTAATTTAAAGTAAATATATACATTCGCTATAGCATTTGACTGATCAGAATTGATCTTAAAAGTGAAGATTCAGGCTTGACCAAGCTCTGCCCATTTAGCAGTTTGAAAGCATGAAAATGTGAGTAGATAAATAGATACCATTTCAGTGGGAAGGTAACAGCGTTCTGTGTGTCTCAGTGTATAGTCATGATGGCCGCATGACCACTGAAATGTCTTCAAACAACATTGTTTCCCTCAGCTAAGAAATGGAGATAAAAACCACCCCCTAGAGTCAGAAACGACTGGACAGGAGAAACCTTTACCTTTTGAATACTTAGTGGGAGATTTATAGGAAATGCTAGGATCTGTAGACGAAATAAGAATTGAAAAAAAATCTCAGAAGATGGTGCTAGCAAATTTCAAATAGAAAAAAAATAGATTGACATATCCATCAGCAGATGATTGCAGGCAATTTTGTGTAAATTGAAAGAGCCTTTCTGTAAGTTGAAAGAAACTTTATCTTGCTTTCTTTATCTTTACTTTCTTATAATCTACCAGGTGCAATCATAGGTGTGGTCCTCTCACATTCAAGAGATATTGATGGTCTGGAGTCCAACAATCAATACTTAATTCAGCTAAGGCAACATTCTTTCAAAAATGCATTTGAACACAAACAAAGCATTGGTTTCAATATAACAAGCATGTTGATTTTCTCAGTTTAGATAAAAGGTGCCGGCTGGACCTTTAACATAGTGGGAAAAAAGGGCAGCTGATCGTCTTGGCACAAATTTCTAGCAGAAATCTGATAACTGTGATTTAGAGTGGTTTATAGTTTCCTACTTTGACCTCTATGAAGGAGCAATTAAATCTTAAGGCTCCAAGCCTAAGTCAGTACTATGCTCAGAAAGACCCAAACATATTTTTTAATCTTATGACAGTTTAAAAAAAAAAAGAAACAGCTATGAATAAAACTCATGAACAGAAACAGTGGCTTTGTATCTTCTAATTAAGTTTTCTGAATTCTAGCAATAAAATTACAGCTGTGCAATATTTATAGGACTGTTTTAAGGAAATCCTGTAATCAAGAGTCCTATTAATATTAAGCTTTATGGACATCATCAGAGTAATAAATTATATTGAACTGAAATAGAATTGAATAAATCAATAAAAGAAATAGCATGCTGCAAATTAAGCAGTGGGCAGTTTTCCAGTAATCCCTCTATAAGGGGCTAAATTAAGGAGGCCTCAGACAATATCCTGCAAAACTCATGAAGCCTGAAAAGATTCAAACATTAATTACTGTGTTACAACCATGTTGCCATACATATGAACATGGGGTACTTACTTCCTCAAGGAGACGTGTAACAGCATCAATGTCATTGTATGTTTTAGTCATCTGGCCTACTCGTTCAGCACATAAAACTGAAATAAAACAGGTAATATTTTATCTACTATACAAAAAGAAATTTAAATCTAATATAACCAAAAACACTCTTTTTTTTCCAAATAATCAATTATGTATGAGTTTATTCATATACCACTATAATTCATGTTAAATTCAATGGAATATTCTCCACTAACCCAATATTGTATTCAATAGGGCATTTAAAACATCACGTGTTCCCAGTAATTCCAAGAGTTCCAACTTAATATTACAAAATTTTGAATACCCTGAATACCTGACTTAGTCAGTAATAGTTTAGTAATAGTTTTTATATTACTCCACTAAAACAATATTTGCATATGACTGACCACAAAATGATATACCTAGAGGAAGTATAGCTTAGCATACTGTGAGAAATATTTTGGGAAATATTAAAAAGGCAGGATAAAATATTTCCCCTAAAGGAAAAATAAATAAAAAATCTTAAGGGAGGCAGAAACCATTTCCCTGCCACAAGCAGAAACTGAGAAGGCCAGCTTTTAGAAATACAGACTTGGTAATCCATTAAAACCTGGTCAAGGCAGAAATGCAGATTAGCAACAAATAAAAGATTGACAAAATTAACTCAAACACCTACGATTTTCATTTCCTCTTTTGCCTATAGAGCCAGCTATGACCTTACCTGATCCCTACATGACCCCCATAGGAATCCAGAAGATATAAAACCCACCCACTCTAAACTCTATTTTGTCAGCTGTACCAGAATCACAAACCCTGGTGGTTCTGCTTCATCATTAAACTTTATTTCCAATCAGCCTCCATGTTGTTGCACTTCACAAAGACTGTTTGTGACTGAATAATGTTTTCGGGAAATGACTGGCTCAACTTATCAGGAGGGCTTTGAACTAAAATTGACAGGGGAGGGTGACCAGTCTTTAGGATCTTCAGGAGCTAATTCCAAGCAAAAACCACTAGAAAACAAGGCAAATAATGAAGTAAGGAGGGATGGGAAAGAAGTCAAACTCAAACACCAAATAGGGGATGTAGGAAGCATACCCAGGCATAAAGAGCTCAAGTGCCTATATACAAATGCACAAACTCTGGGAAACAAACAGGGTGAACTTGAACTATTAATACATGAAGGTAGATACAACATAGATGGAACAACAGAAACTTGGTGGCACGAAACCCATGACTGGAACAAACTGATAAAAGGATACAAACTCTTCAAAAAAACCAGACCCCATAAAAGAGGAGGTGGAGTTGCACTGTATATAAAGCACCACTACATTGTTACAGAATTCCATGAACCCAAAGACGAAAATCTCCTAGAATGCATATGGATCAACATAAGAGAGAGAAAAAAGAATGACATGGCCATAGCTGTATACTACAATTCAACTCCACTCTACTCAATCCCAGAGTTCTAAAGGAGCTGGCAAATGTCATCTCAGAACCACTGCACCACATCTTTCAAAAATCCTGGCACACCTGGGAACTAGCAGAGGACCAAAAAAGAGGTGATGTGGTTCCCATCTTCAAAAAGGGAAAAAAACAGACCCAGGAAATTACAGGCCAATCAGCCTAACATTAATACATGGAAAGATATTGGAAAAAATAATAAAAAACAGATCTGCCAACACGTAGAAATGAGGGGTTCCTACCAGTTCAGACTGCGCATGTGCAGGATGGAAAATGGCTGCCCAAGCTAAACGCTGGGCTTGCGAGGAACAAAGGATAAACCAATTCATGAGACTGAGACTCCGGATTTTAAAAAAGGGGAGTCCTTGCAGGAGATTGACCACCGGACAAACTAGGGAAGCGATTATCTGGAAGGGGTCGCTCTCGGGCAGCCCCTGGACGTTTCTGATGGCGTTTCTGTGTTCCATACCTCTCTGCTGACAGGCGGCGACGGCGGCGATGGCGTTGCATGGACGGTGGCGTCCGCGTTGCACGGACGGCGGCGTCAGCGTTGCACAGACGGTGGCATCGGCATTGCACAGACAGCGGCAACGGTGTCGCACAGACGGCGACTTCGGCGTCGCACGGACGGCAATGGCGGTGGCGGCGTTACACGGATGGCAATGGCGGTGGTGGCGTTGCACGGACGGCAATGGCGGCGTCGCATAGGCGGTGAGCGTTTTTCGGTTGCGCTGCTGGGGGAGGCTCTGGACTTATGCTGGACCTGCTGGGCCTGTGCTGAGCGGTGTCGGTGTGGCGGTTTGCACTTCGCCCCGAGGAGAGGGCAGTGAGTCGTTGCAACAATGTGTGCTGGGACTGGGCGGCTGGTCCTTTGCCACTGCCGCAGTTCTTTTAGCCCCCCCTCCTTTTCTCTTGGTGCGGCCTTGCTTGGTTGTTGTCGCTGCGGGGCTTTCGCGCTGCGTGGTACTTTGCTGCCTGACTTTTTGCTTGTTTCTTACTACGGCCAGTGCGGCCAGCGTCATCTGCTGCTCCCTCAGGGGTACCATCGACAGCGCCTCTTTTGGGTCAACGACAAGAAGCGGTGGGGACGAGGCCGTGAATTTACCACCTGTTTCAGACTGGCGCCTACCCCCCCCCCTGCAACCAGTCCTGCCATCTTAGACTCTGGGGTCTCGGGCCCCTTTTGCACTTTCCGGACTTACAAGAGGGAAGAGGGATTGAGGAACTCTCCCTCCTTCATCATCATCAGTTCCGACCTCTGAATCTGCACGAACCCACTTGAGCGGAATTTTAAGATCTGCACAATTTTCTATGGATGGAGTGTGTATGGTGTGAATGATAATGAATGAACCCACTTAATTTTAACTAATTTTATACTATTGTGCTATTGTATTTTGTATGTTTTTAAAATTGACCATAGTGGGGTATGTATGAGAGAGTGACTATGTGTATACATGAGAGGACCGAGGGCGCAGCCTGGTGCCTCCTCCACTGAGTGCATAAGCAGAAGTGGACAGGGGCCCTGGCCTACCTCTCGTCCTAGAATGAATGACAGATGCAGCCTGCTGGGAAAAGCGGGAGCCATGAGAGAGGGGAGGGGTTCTACGGGGATGGGGGCGGGCCGGAGCATTCCGGTCATGATAGGGAGGGGCAGGTTTGACGGGAGCTACAGGGCTACTACAGGGCTAGTCATTACCGGGGAAGGAGGGCTCGCTATGTCACAGCGATCCCTTGTTCCGGCCCTGCAAGCTCAACTCT